GAGAATTTTAACTGTGCTCATCTGTGAATAACAGTCCCTTGCGATTTGATTAATGTTAATAGTCGCTTGTTAGTACAGAGTATTGCAGTGAAGAGAGACATGCTGTCGAAGATTTTCATCTCACACTCAGAGGACAGATGCAAGAATGCCAGGTTTCAAAGGGAACAACAATTTATACTGTATAATGAACAGGGTCCTAATTACTTCGTGAATACACTCTCATTGTTCAATTGCCAGGAAGAATTCACTAACAAATGGTGGCTTTGATTGAGTGAAGTTGCACAATGCCTGCATAGGACCCACTCTTGAAATTATGCCATTTCTAGCTCTTGCTCTCTTATTATCCAGTCCTTTGTCTGTCCAACTGTTCTTCTCTCTGTTTGGGCTCTATCTCCACCTATCATTTACTCCATAACTGCAACACCTTTCCCCCCATCAGCCGCCACCCCATCTTCTGCATAAAACTTAACTTTTTTCCAGCTACCATCTGTTCTTAAGAAAGGTCACTGGACCAAAAATGTTATTGATAGAATCCCTACAGTGCAGAAGCAAGCTATTCAGCCCATCGAGTCCATACCATCCCACACCCTTACCCTACCCCATGCTAATCCACTTAACCTGCACATTTTTGGTCTGTGGGAGAAAACCAGAGCACCTGGAGAGAAGCAATGTAAACATGAGGAAAATGTGCACACAGTCAGTCATAGATCATAGAAAGATTTACACAATCTGAAGAGAAACCAGAGTATGTTGCCCCAGGCTAAAATCAAACCCGTGTCCCTGATGCTGTGAGACAGAAATTCTAACCATTGAGTCACCGTGCTGCCTTAAACTTTGATTCCTCACCACAGATGTTGCCAGGTCTGCTGAGGTTTTCCAGCAATTTCTGTTTTTGCTTCTAGCTCTTACAAGATTTGTAGTTTTGCGTCTGTCCTGATTAGTACAAAATGGAAACCTTTGACAGCACGTACTTTTTTCAGCAAGGGATCTGTAAACTCAAACTCAGCCAAAACCGCTAATGCACATATCCTAACAACAGAGTTCTGTTCATTCATCAGCCTTATCAGGAGAGGAAACTGAGTCTCCATTCCCATGTGTTTCAAAGAATGTGAAGGTGATCTCTTTGAAATCTATCAAGTTTTCCCAAATGTGGCAGAGTTGATGGAGATGGGTGTTTACCCTGGACTGGTGACTCTAGAAACAAGGGACATAACCTCAGGATGAGGGTCAGACCATTTAGGACTGAAATGAGGAGGAACTTCTTCATTCAGTTGATGGTGAATGTCTGGAATTTTATACCCCAAAGCTCAATCATTGAACAGGTTTGTGACAGCAATCAATACATTTCTTGAAGATAAGGACATTAAGAGATAAGGAGCTAATGTGGCAAAGTGACACTGAAGTAGAGGATTGGCCATGATCTAATTGAATGGCGGGACAGGTTCAATAGCTGAATAGCCCAGCCTGTTATCCATCTGCCAATGATTCATTTCTGGCTTTTCCATCCTTGTTTTCAAAGCCCCGTGTAGCCTTGCCCATCTTATCCACCCCAGCACCCCACTTTGGCCTTCAAAGCTCTCTTATCGCTGCCGCCTCCCTGTGGTCTCTCTGAGGTTTAGCCATTCCTCCAATTCCAACCTCTTGACCTTCCCCATTCTAATTGCTTTACCTTTGACTGATGCGCCCACAGTTCCCTGAGCCTCACTACTGGGATCGTGCCCATAAGCGTCTCTAATATTCTTTCCTCCTTTAAATTGCTTTTTAAAACCAACCTCTTTTTTTTTCTGAAGAAGGGTCCAGACCCGAAACGTCAGCTTTCCTGTTCCTCTTATGCTGCCTGGCCTACTGTGTTCCTCCAGCTCCACTCTGTTTTATCTCTGACTCCAGCATCGGCAGTTCCTATTATCTCTCTTTTGATCATCTGTCCTCAATATCTCATCACTTAACTTAGTGTCAAATTCAACGCAATACCCGCTCTAGTGAAGCATTTTGAGACGTTTTGCTGTGGTTCAAGGATAGTAAAAATAGAAGTTGCTGTTGGGAATGGATTATCCTTGATGGTTTTTGCATTTTCACTCTCCGCTTCTTGCGTGATCTTTGCTGAGAATCAGCCATCAACCAAAGACCGGAAATCGTCTTAGCCCAGTGCTTGACAGACACCAATAGGCACCTTGAGTGCTCAGCATGGTTCAGTGAGTGTTCAACATGGTGGGACGAGCACAAATCCAAAGTGCCCCACTACCAAGGGAAGTGGAAGATTCAGGGAAGATTCACCCGTTTGACCTGAGGTATGGAGGGGTTTTCCTATGAGGAGAGGTTGAATAGTTTGTACCCTTTGGAGGTCAGAATGAGAGGCAACCTCTCTTAGGGACAAGATTCTTAGGGGGCCTGACAGGGGAGATGTTGAAAGGTTGTTTCCTTTCCTGGGAGAGTCTAAGAACAGAGGGCATCATGTCAGAGCAAGGATTTAAGGCAGTGATGAGAAATTTCTTCTCTCAGAGGGTAATGAACCTTTGGAATTCTTTACCACCGAGGCTGAGTCATTAGGTATATTCAAGGCTGAGAAAGATAGATTTATAATCTGTAAGGGAAAAGGCACGAAAGTAGAGTTGAAGATTATGAGATCTGCCGTGATCTCTTTGAATGGCAGAGCAGACTCGATGGGTTGAATGGCCTGCTTCTGCTCCAACACCTCATGGTCTTATGGTGTTATGTACCTGAAATGGGTGTTAAGTCTTGCTTGTATGTGCAGATGGAGGTTGTCATGTTTGATGAAGCTTCCCTAATCACTGGTCCTTGAGTTGCGCTCACTTGCTTTTGCCTGTGGGTTGAACTGGTGAGTGAAGTTTGTATTGATTTGTCAGTGGGAATGTAGGCATTGCTGGGCCAAGTCAGTTTCATTGCATACAGAACTGTCCTGGTGAAGGTGATGACTTACCTTCCTGATCCACAGCAGTCCTTGGGGTAGTGGGGGTGTCACAATGCTGTTAAGGGAGGGAGTGCCAGGATTTAGACCAGCAACAATGGAGGCATCGTTCCGATTCATGACGATGTGTGAGTGGTGGGGGCGGATCTTGCAGGTGGTTGTGTTCCCATGTATCCTGCTGCCCTCGTCCTTCCAGATGTAGAGGTAATGGATTTGGAGGGTGCCATCGTAGGAGCCTTTGGTGAGTTGCTGCCATTCAAGTTGTAGATGGTAGACACCGCTGCTGCTGTGAATTGGTGGTGAGGGAGATAGTGGATGCTGTGCTAATCATGTGGGCTGCTTTGTCCTGGAAGGTTTTCAGCTTTTTCAGGGTTCTTTTAGCTGTTCCCACCCAGGGAAATGGATAACCTCACAGTTAGCCACATTTTATTCCCTCTGTCATTCACTCAGCTGCTCTAAATCCCCCTTTGCATCCTTCTCACAACTCACATTCCCACCAGTTTTATATCATTTGCAAATTTTGAAACACTATGATTGGTCCCAATATCCAAATCATTGATGTAGACTGTAAACTGCTGGGTCTCAAGCTCTGATCCTTGTCATACTCCAGTGGTTACAGGCTGCCAATCTAAGAATTGTGTTCCCATCTATTAACAGAGAAAATAGACCATTCGGCCCTTCGAGCCCGAACAGCCATTAAATATGATCATGGCTGATCATCCAACTCAATACTTGGTTCCTACTTTCTTCTCTTACCCTTTGACCCCTTTAGCCATAAGAATTATATCTCACTCCTTCTTGAAAACATTTAATGTTCTGACCTCAACTGCTTTCTGTGGCAGAGTATTCTATTGGCTCACCACTCTCTGGGTGAAGAAATTTCCATACCCTTAGACCGTGGCCCTCAGTTCTGAACTCCGCAGTCATCAGGAACATCCTCCCTGTGTTTAGCCTGTCTAGTCCTTTTAGAATTGTATAGCGTTCCATGAGATTTCCGTCCTCCAAACTCCAGCGAATACAGTCCTAACCGATCCGGTCTCTCTTCATACATCAGTCCTGTCATCCCAGGAATCAGCCTGGTAAACCTTTGCTGCACTCCCTTCATCGCCAGAACATCCATCCTCAGTTTCGGAGACCGAAACTGCACACAATACTCTAGGTGTGGTCTCCCCAAGGCCCTGTACAATTGCAGCAAGATGTCCCTGCTCCTGCACTTGAATCCTGTCCCTATGAAGGCCAACATCCCATTTACCTTCTTCACCACCTCCTGCAGCTGCAATGCTTACTCTCAGCAACCGGTGTATAGGGACACCCAGGTCTCACTGCACCTCCCCCTTTCCAAATCAGACAATAATCTGCCTGACTGTTTTACCAACCAAAATAGATAACCTCATATTTATCCATATTATATTTCATGTTGTAATGATTGTCATCCAGGTGGATCTCATAGAATATGAGTTCCCTGATTGGGGCTGTTAGCCTGATCCAGTCAGGGAGTCCAGGCTGACAGATATAAACAGGAGTGTCAGGGGTTCTACTCACTCTAGGAGTTGGTTCTGATCTAGTTGGGTCAGCGTCCTGAACTATGCACGTGTAAATAATAGGTGATTTGGTGATGGGATCCTGGCCTTCGTAGAATTAGTTCACATCGACCATGCATCTGCCCATTCAACTCGTCCAAAATTTACTGAAACCAGCCAATCCTCAATCCATGGTTGTATATTGCCTCCAGTAAAGTATTGGCTCCGAGCACGCAGGAGCAACATTCTGGAGAGAGAGAGAGAGTTTGCTCCTAAATTGAAAGTTCTGTGAAATGATATGGGGTTTTTAGTCATGTAAATAAACCATCTGAGTTTGTAACTGCCTTTGTATTACTTTGAGCTAGATTAGATTTACAGAGGTCTCAATCCAGAGAGAGCACAGGTACTTGCATTTTGGAGGCACACCTTTATAAAATATGCGTCTGAGTGTAAGTGAGGCAAGAGGTCAAGTGTTGAATGCATCTTGGGCCTGGAACCAATTTCCCTGCCAACGTCTTCCATCGACTTTCTCTTTTACAGGTTGTCGCCACTGAACAAACCGAGGGGCATTATGTCATACGCTGCACTGATTAAGGAAAGGAAGCAAATGGCATCAGCCATTGCACAAGAGGCCCACGGGGAGATGGAAGGTAAGGAGTCTCGTCCTTCTAATCTCTGTATCTCAGCACTTCTCAAACGGGTGCAACTCAGAGTGAAACTGTTTAAAGGTTGGGGGAGGGGAAGTGTTGGGGGAGGTGGGGTGGTGGACGGGATCAGAGAAAGTGTAGCAATTCTACAGGGAGTGGAGGTGCAGATGGATCTGGGGGTAAAAATGCACACATCATTGAAGGTGGCAAGACAGGTAGAGGGAGCAGTAAGTAAAGCGTACAATGTTCTCAGCTTTAATGACAGGGCACAGAGTAAGAGCAAGGAGGTGATGTTGAGCTTGTACAAGACACTTGTTTAACCTCAGGTGGAGTATTGTGAACAGGTCTGGGCGCCACATGAGAAAAAAGATGTGAACACCCTGGAGAAAGCGATTTACAACAATGGTTCCATTGGAATGAGGAACTTCAGTTTGAGGATAGTTTGCAGAATTTGCGACTGTTCTGTCTGGAGAGAAGAAGGCTGAGTGGAAGTCTGATAGAGGTTCCCCCTTCTGTGCCACAACAGTTCTTTGATTCGGGGTCATCGGTGAGGAGGGAATGGGGTGTGTTCAGTTGTTGAGGGTGAGGACAACAGGGCTTGCTCAGTGGGCTGGTGGGAGGCCAAATTTGACAATGGAGGATGATGAAAACACAGGAATGCTACAAAAACCCCGACCTTTTCACCAGGTTTGTCTTACAGCTACAACGGGGCCTTGGACAGCAATCCGATGAACCACACCCACAAATGGAACAGAAAGCAAGAATTTAACGGGACCTCACAACTTTTTGCATTCAGTCCAGTCTCCATGGCAACCACTGCTGCTTCAGAGCCCGCGACGTCAAATTCTTGACTCATGACCGGTTGTTCCACAGAGTTTTCGGGTTGATGAATGTTTTCAAGAGGGAGTTAGATATAGTTCTTGTGGCTACAGGGATCAAAAGGCAAGGGGAGAATGCAGGAACAGGGACTGAGATGGATGATCAGCCATGATCACATTGAATGGTGAAGCAGGCTGGATGGGCCGAATGGCCCTCAGTTGCTCCTATTTTCTATGTTTCTATATTGGGGAAATTCTGCTCCAGGCTCATCTCCCTGGAGTCTATGATTCACTCCGAGGAACTTGGAAACATTTTATGTTAACCCTCTGTAATAGACATAGCTGCAGGAGGAGGCTATTCAGCCCATCGAGCAAGTTCCACCATTCTATTGGATCCATGACAGATCTTTTACTCAACATCACTTTCCTTAAATGGCCTGCTCCTTATTCTGAAACAATGTACCCTGGTCCTTCATTACTCAATAGCTGTAACCAGGAGCTCCTGTTCACCGTTGAAGATTAAATAAGCTTATTCAGAGGTGATCCAGCCCTGAGGGGATGTCCAGATGATGCCAGAGAAGCCCAAACTTAGGTGCATCAAGTGGCTGGAAACTTGGCAGTCTCTGAATTGGGACTTGAACCCACAACTGTCTGTATCCAAGGCAGGAATGGTACCTAGCTGAGGCCCTGCTGGGAAGATACGATGGGTAATTGTGTTTGTCAGCTGAGAACATGTTTTAGAATGTAATTCCATATTTGCATAACCAAGGGCCACAATCCCCCCTGGGGAACAACAACCAGACTGGAGCTGCTATACACTTCTGAAAACACACCCATCAGTTACCTACACTGCACAGAAATCCAGGCCAATTCTAATGTTTCAACAACACTGACTTCCCACATTAGATATTTGCAGAGAACATTAACGTCTCCCTCCATAATTACCCTTCCCAGAATATACTGCTACAGTGTTCCTGAGTGACAACTCCTACCATCTATTTTAATTCCTTGTTTTGATTGGCAGTGATAGCTGCTGATTTAACTGGAAGGCATTGGTTTTAATATGAAGTATTAGAACCGTTTGTGACATTTAGTTCAGAAAGGGCTGTTGATACGCAATGGTAATGCCCCTACCCCTGGAGGAGGAGGTCTGGATTCAAATACCACCTGCTCCCAGAGGTGTGTAATAACATCTCTGAACAGGTTAATTAGGAAAAACAAATCTAGAAAGGAACAGAACTTGGATGATGTGTTAAATAAAGAAATTAAAATAAAAACAAATGCATTGCGCAACAGGGGAGAGAACATCATTGTGTAGAACTGGGTGTAGAGCAGTTCATCAGAAATACAATGTAAAAGCAGGAATGTTTATATTAAATGATTATATTGACCTTTAATGTAAGTACAGTGTAATAATAGTGAAAGAATGTAACAGCAATCCTGCTAGACTTTGGTAGGACCACAGCTGGAGAACTGTGGTTATTGTCTCTCTCCGAGAATGATATACCTACCTTGGATGGGATGCAGAAAAGAGTTCATTGGGTTTAATCTTGAATTTAAAGGCTTCTCCCATGTGTGAGATAGAATAGAATTACTTTGGGGAGATGCTGGCCTAGTGATATTATGACTGGACTATTAGTCTAAAGCCCAAGGGAACCTGGGTTTGAATCCTTCATATGGCAGATTGTGAAATTTGAGTTCGATAAAACTCTGGGATTTTAGCCTAATGATCAGCATGAAACTGTTATTAATTGTCAGGGAATACGCATTAGGTGCACTAATGGCTTTCAGGGATGGAAATCTGCCACCCTTACCTGGTCTGGCCTACATGTGACTCCAGACTCACAGTCATGTGGTTGTCTTTTAACTGCCCTCTGGGCAATTAGGGATGGGCAATAAATGCTGTTCCAGTCAGCAACAGCTGTATTGTGTGAATGAATAAGAAAAACGTACTCTCTGCAGTGCACCCTACCCCGATGTTCTGCTTTATTAACCTTCCCTGTGGTAGCTCCTCAGATTAAGGATGGCGCTTGCTCAGGCCAGGACCCTGCGTGTGGGGTATTTTTAACCTGGTACGGCTACCATACGGACCTGACTGATCACAAAACTCTCCTGCTCTTGCCACAACTGGATTCACAGATCGACAGTCGTCCTTTTTGGCCGTGTTGGGAACACACCTTCCTCAGCCATCAGGTCCTGAGGAGGGACTTGATCCTGGTGCTCCTGGCTCTAGGACACTGCACAACGAAACCTCTGGACATCGAATCAAAAGTCTCCTATCACTCAGTGCAGTGTCCCCTTTCAGAGGGATAGACTGTCTTTAAGGACTGCGCTTAGTTGGAACTTGTTAGATGTTGCAAAGGATAAAGGGTTAATGTTGGAAATGGCACTTTAGGCTCCACCCAGTCTAGTGTTGGCACAGAGTGTTGGGTAAATGATTGAGGAGACCATTTCAAAATCCCAATCAGGTCAGACGTGTCACCCTTATCTCCTGATGGCCTTAATAACTATGTCTAGCCATCAAGTGTAATTTGTACATAATGCTATCATGTAATAAACTACATCTTGTTAAGGTAAGTGCTTCTTCTTATTAAGACTCGTTAGTGGTTCATTTTCCATCGCTGTTAACCAAACAGGTCTTTAGGCCCAAGATAGAAAGGAGGATGTAGACATTTAGAGACCAGTGTGCACTGCAGGGGCTGTGGGATGGAGCATCACCCTGAACAATGGTCCTTGGGTTTAGTAAGTTTCCATTCCCCTCTATAAGTTTCTGTTAACCATCAGTTTGTAGGTTTTCTGTTACAGTGGCCCAGTTGGGGGCCATTTAACCTAATTTTTGTTGCTTTCATGGAGTCGAAAGGAGGACAGACTGCAGCATGTGGCTAACACATAGTGGTTGGTCTCACAAAGCAGACAAACGCTCTCCAGGCACACTGTTGAGTCCCCCTTCTCCACATTCACCCAGCTATCAGCATGGGCCACATGTGGCTACATGCCACTCATAGGCAAATGAGGAGGTGACACAAGGTTAATGCACATCCCATTCGGTAGGAGAGGTTCCAAGAACAAACCAAATGTTAAAGAGGAGGCCCCCATCTGCACCTCTTAGAACTATTGCTGGAGAAACTCAGCAGGTCTGGCAGCATCTGTGGAGAGAGAACATTTTGAGTCCAGTATGATTATCAGAGCTGGCTGACTTGCTGAATTTCTTTAGCATATTCTATGTGGGCTCTTAATCAATGTGCCCGATTTTAGCTCTGAACAGACGGGTGTGCTTGAATTGATAACTATCCCGATGCACTTCCAAAACGTTAGATGTTTTGTAACAAGTAGAGATTAATGCAAAATCAGAATAACGCCTCAGAAAAAGGGTCAAATATTTTTACTTAAAAACATAAATAGGGTGAGCAGGGAGGTGAGGCTGTTAAAATCATGCAAGGTTTGTTAAAGACAAAACCTGTTCCCCTCGACCATTTATTCCTTAGTGTCCCTGTACATTTCCTGGTGTTTTGTATTTTTTTTCCCTGCATGAAGAAGTGCCTGACCTGGATCTGGGGAAGAAGGTCAGCGTTCCTCAGGATGTGATGATGGAAGAGCTCTCGCTACTTGCCAACAAAGGCTCAAAGATGTTCCACATGCGACAGAAGAGAGTTGATAAGTTCACAGTGGAAGGGACCCCGGGCACTCAGGTGGTGAGTAGAATATAGTTACCATGGTAATGTTAACCCTCATTCCAAATTGGGGTGAATAAAGGTGCAGTGATGTTAAATTCTGTCCAATTTTGCGTGAGTTTGTTGGGGCTGGAGAGATAGCCATTGGAAAGAATACAACTGACAGTCTCTCGGTGGTAGTAGGAACTGCAGATGCTGGAGAATCCAAGACAACAAGGTGCAGGGCTGGATGAACACAGCAGGCCAAGCAGCATCATAGGAGCAGAAAGGCTGACGTTTTGGGCCGAGACCCTTCATCAGAAAAGGGGGAGGGGAAGGGGGTTCCGAAATAAATAGGGAGAGAGTGGGAGGCGGATAGAAGATGGATAGAGGAGAGTATAGGTGGAGAGGAAACAAACAGGTCGAAGAGGCGGGGATGGAGCCAGTAAAGGTGAGTGTAGGTGGGGAGTTAGGGAGGAGATAGGTCAGTCCAGGGAGGACGGACAGGTCAAGGGGGCGGGATGAGGTTAGT